CGACCTGGGTTCATGCCCATATATTGTCAAGAATTATTCTTGAAAGGTCAACAAAAAATTAAACTACGAGTTTAGAGTTGTAACATTACACGACTCAACAGGTGACAAATGCCGCAATGGCACTAGAATAACCTGTAGAGCTACTCGTAGTCGCACTTTTTTTAAGTTCAAGCATATACCATGAGCTTGTGTTCATATTGTTCGATGAATAGGTTTCGTAGGAGTGCATTAAAAATACCGTCATATGGTACTGCTAACCAAAAGTGACTGACTGACAACTTTGTACTACTTAGGAATCTATACACTTCAAAATGTCTATCTTAAACCATTGATAACGATGATAAAAAGCGAACTAACCAGTCCTTCAAAATATTGTCACTTGTATAGTCAGTTGCAGTTTTAATCTTCATTCGGTAGGTATTGAAGGACAGAACATTAGAGACCAACTCTCAAAAGTTTTGGTAATAATATTTTTTTTATTTATTTAGCTGAGTATATTCTTATTAAATTACAATAAGAAAATAATGACATTAAATATACACAATAAATTCGTAGCTAGGAACAACTATATACATAATTACATTTTTATAATAATTATAATATTTTTATTTTATAATGTGCTGCTCTGAATTCTTCTGGCGCCCAATTGCTATGTTATTAATTAAATTTTTTTTCACATCTATAACACTGGGATTTAAACTGACCTTTGATTTTACTTCCACAAATGCTTTATAAACATGGAATGATATGAAGGAAGACCTAAAACAGTATGCCCAGCTTGTTCAGTCAAATTATTGCATACATACTGTTTTTAATTGCATGTAAATTTGAGACTTCTAAAAGTTGTGCTTTTTTGTAACTGAATTTAAAATAAATCTAAATATTTGAACTTGACGAGTCTGGTGCTATACGTAGCAGACGGCTGTGGTTATTGGGAATATTTTTTTAAAGACTGTGTTGAAGCCAATTTTCAAAAAGGCTCTTCACTTGTATCCTCATGATAATCCAAGCAAGAATCCTTAATATGCTTGGCAGACAACAGCAAGCAGTTTGACACAAATCCGTCTTCTGACCCAGCGTGTGTTATGGTGATGCGTCTTCCTTTATTTGAAGGTGTTTTCGTTTGACAGTTTTGAGTGAAATCAACCCATCCTTTGGATACAGTGTGTATCGAACCATGCTTGATCAAGGTAAATTATGGATCTGTTATCTAATCTATATCTTTTAATTTCTTGTTGGTAATTAAATCTTCAAGTGTGTGTGATTCCTTTACTATTTGCCTTTTGTTTATTCTACTATACTTAAACCCCATTTTGCGAAGTCTATGAACCGTAGCACGGCTTATATTATATTGGTTTCATCTTGTTCTAGCTTCTTTTTCAGTTTATCCAAGGTAGGAAAAACTTCGCTTTGATAAGGACAAGATATTTTCATTCTTATTAGGTCCTGATCACTATTGTCTATGAGTTTGAAAATCATTACGTTTATTGCTTTTCTTCAATTCTCCACTATTAATAATATCCCTTATCAACGATATTGGCGTTTTTGTAAGTAGACTGGTTTCTTTTAAAGCTTCTTGTTGAATAAGTCCTCTACTGATTAATGATCATACATATTTTTCACAACCTGTTTTGCATCAAATGATTTCGACGCGATATTGTTATATTCTTGTAAAATAACTTTTTCCCATAGTAAAAACCCTTATTCAACACTGCCACAAATGGTCAACACTCAAGAAAGATATCAGAAATAAAGAAATATGCCTGGTCCACTCCTGTCTTGTCACTCAAGTAAGAATAATTTTTTTGTTAATGGCTTTATCCAATAATAATAGGTAATAACATCGATAAAGTTTTATTGGGGAGGGTCCGTCCAAAGCCAACACGATGAAGATTGCGACAGACTATAATACGTATAGGACATAATTCCATTATGCAATTTATTTGCATAAATTAGACCCCTTGAAAGGCCCACCTACCTTTACCTACATCCTAGAACGTTTAAATAGCAAATTTAACACGTCCACTCAAAAAAATGAAACTTTTCCGCAATGACTGGATTGTAATCAAATACTTCATGTTATTGATATACCCGCATTTTTAATTTTACTTTGTCCTTAGCCTTACACTAACTTTATTCTTCCCTATTTTTAATTTCGCAATTAGATTTTGGTATCGACTTATTAAGAGTTTGTGCACAATATAAATCATAGTTCAGTTCAGTTCAGTTCAGTGTTTTGGACACTTCAACATAAACTAGGATTATTTAATAATTTATTTGATATTTGTATATTTATCAGAATATGTTCGAAATAATTCGTTAATAATTATTCAAAACCACGAAGAGAACGTTCAGTTCAGACTATTTCACACTTTATATCCATTTAGATAGAGTGGAAAGGAATTTTCCAATTGAAATACTGGCCATTAGAATTTTTCGTCGTGGCTGCGAATGTTATCTTGTTTTACTCCAATAGCGCTCAAGATATATACCCGGTTCTTCAACGGATTCCGTACCTTCAGTAGTATTTATGGGAGTAGTATTTATAGGAGAACGCAAGTAATTATCCACAACGCACAGACCAAAAATATTGAATCTGAAGATAATTTGAGATATATAGCAAATTTAGACACAGAAAAGCATAGTGTAACTGTACCATAGAACTTGTATGGAGGCAACTGAAATGATATGCGGCAAGATACAATACGATATTCAAAATGTTTAATCAAGTCATTGAGGAAGTGACACCAGAGAACTGGCGAAAAGCAGTCCTGCATGTCAATCAAGAAGAAAAGAAAATATTGATGACCACGAATTTTTATAATCTAGCTAAAATAAAATTTTTTACTTCTTGCGAGTATGAGTTGGTTAACTTTAGCTTTAATATTCGTTTAGATCAGTAGCTCATGTTGTTTATTTATAGCACTGGCAAACAGAAAATATTGTCCTTAACACAATTCCGTCGCTCCCCCTAAGCAATGAATCAATTAATTACAACGTCTAATATAATTGAGACGCTATCGCGGTCAGAAATTTCGCAGATCTATACATAATCTGCCCAGTGTTCGATTCGGAACCAGCCTCGTCCCAAACTCATGTATATTAATGACTAGACCGTACGGGCGGCAAATCTTATTGCCAGTGGTAAGCCAAGGGACCGCGCCCGACCGGACGACGCCATCTTGCCTTTCAATACCTCTTACCTTATTTTAAGTGCTGCCGTCTTTGTTCAAATCCTCCAGACCCTCTCCTTTCTTATTCGCGTAGGGCCTGAATTCGATGTTTAGCTTAAAACTACGAACCTCCGGGATCCATATTGCCTGGTAGCATTTTGATTATTTTTAAAAAGAGCGACAGGGATTCAGTTAAAATCTCCATATGGGTTGGGTTCGCTGATATTGTTGGAAGGAGGATTTGTCACAGATGGTAAATATTGAAGAATATCATCTTAAATTTTCGTTAGAGCATTTAACTGCGTAAATACTTCAGGGATACCAGTGAAGTTGGCAAAAATGGCAACGTTGCCTTCGACCGTGAATATCAACAGTAAAAACGCTCTGGCTAGTTAAAGTCATCTTTGCAAGAAATAATGATAATAAAAACATTACGGGCCAAATTATCTGGGTAAGTTAAGAAGCCCCGAGAGAAATAATTATTTTGCACGAATTTCACGACTTTAATCACCTTATTAGTCAAAGGTCGAAGGTCGAAATATCGAACATTTATTATTATATCCATAACTGCACTGCGCTGGCAGTACCACACCAAAACGCGACGCTGCCACGTGCAGCATATTATCGTGGAGATTTATTTAGTTAAAGAAATGGAGAAATATCACTAAAAAATATAGACGATGTAATTATAAATGCACAAAAAACTCTAGTTAGTGAGGTTCAGAAAGTTAAAACAGAGGTCAGAGAGCACAACAGCAATCTTACGGTAGTGCAAGAAATGATTGAATCACTGAAACAGGAGAACGTAGAGCTTAAAGAGAGGATCAAGAGCATCGAATGCCAGGTGAAAAGGAAAAAATCCTCTTTTTGTACGTACTGGAGGAAAATAACTTTTCCTTCGCGGAAAACTACGTCATAGAATTTGTCACGAATAAATTGGGAATTTAGATCACTACAGCAGATATACAGGACTGCTATATCCTGGAACAAAAAGGTCAAAAATCACGCCCGATTTTATTAGGATTACTATCGGTCTTTAAAAAGAAGAAGATTCTTAGTAAGCGGACAAGAGGACAAATATTGACATTACGAGGATCTATCAGACGAGGTGATATATCAGAGAAAAACTCTCATCCAAATCCTAAAAGACGAAAGGCAAGGAAACACTAATATTGAAGTTAGTTGGTATCATCTACAGCTACGACGAAATAATAGATATAAAAATAAATTATCACCCCAGATGAAAATAATTTTATTATTAGTATTAATAGTAAGTAATAAAACGATATATTTGCTTATTAATTTCTAGACCTCGGATAAAACTAAAATTCCAGTAATAGAAATACTAAATACTCCAATGTCTTTGGCAGCGACAAACGACGATTATACCAATACCAAGATAAAGTCGAATCCAAGTAACCTAATTTTATATTTCATGGCAACAGAAGAAAGCCATTATTAACAACAATATTAATAACTAAATCCCGTATCAGTTTAGGCTATTAAGATGTGTACTGATATTAGGCCAATTTGTGTGAAATTCAACAAATCATGCCCTTCCCAGGGTTGGGGACAACTTCCTATTCACATATGATTTTCTCATGCTCGATTACTGACCTCGAGTAATTAAATTTTCTCCAAATTTTTTATTAAAGTTATTTAATTGATTACCAGTGTTATTGAGAAAAACATTTAATATATTTAAAGTGACAATGCGAAAATATGTTTCGGCAAAGCGCTGCGATCGCAATGCGCATTCATTCCATCCAATATTTAATTAACGAACTGTTTAATTTTAAATTAAATTAAGGTGTTACAATTTCTTACGTAAAATACAGCCGGGCCCACACTAAAATCTCGTCTCCTCTTTGTCGTTCTCCTTCAGACTCCGTCCTACTTGCTTGAGTCGATATTCTGCAGAGAACGGCCTCTCAATGCTGTAAGAATTCGAAACGGGAATCCCAATGATGTGGAGAGGGTCTGCGGGCGTCGAGACGGGGATTGTAACGTATTACTTTGGATTCTTGAATGCCTGGAAAGGGGGAGAAGTTTTGTGAGAACGTTTAATTACGGTATTCGTCAGTTAGAATGAAATTTTATGATAATAAACTGCTCGCTAATAGGTCTGCGCGGCCTAACGTCGAATTTTAATTCAAAAATGTTGCATTAGCGAGGCGAATATATGGAAAATACCTCTGCACAACGATTAGAGGAAAATTATCCCAATGATAATTCACTATTAGAGGGGTTATTGCTGTAATCGAGTTTTTCTATAGTCTCGAAGCAGGTTACAAGTATAACAAGGCAAAAGGTAAAGTTTCAGTACCTGTAAAAAATAGCAGAATATAAAATTTTAAAATAGGCTACACGTATAATTCACGGCTACCGATTGTAGTGTAAATCAACCTTTACAGCCCAGTGCGTAATTAGTATAAACGGAGCAGCAAACTCATTATAATTATTTCAGTTTGTTTTTATTTCTTCAAGAAAACTGCTTTTCAAAAGAATTTGACTACTTTTGAAAACGTCTATAAATCAATGTTCTTACCCTTGAAGATCTAACGAAGACTAAGTGATCTTGTGATCTGCACGTAAACCCAGATTGGATTTTAACTTGGAAGCAAACTCTGGCATATTTGACCTCTGGCGCAAATTGTTAAATTACATTTTAATCTTAGTTTCATGATTACCTGGTTTATATCGATATTGCTTAAAAAATAATTGGTTCGATATAGCTTGCGATTCAGTGCCTTTATGGATTCATGGTGTATTGAACATTAATGAAAAATCTAACTGGTTTAAAATCCAGACACAACACAAATTGTTCTGTTGGATTATTAGTCAAGAAATAAGGGCCTTTGAAGTAAAAATTGTATTCTTTCCTAGGCACACTTTAGAAGAACTGCAGCAATTTACTTGCAACTTTCTCGACAAACCAACTCTACAACTGCAAGCAAAGCGATAAACGTATGCTTGACTCTCGACAATATTTTCATTTATACAATGTTGCTGCACTATATAAATTGTGCAACATCGCGCTTATTTTAAATGGCACCCCCTGCAAATCATTTGATTTTTAGAAACTACGCAAGGAATAAATAAAGTATGAAATCATCAAAAATATTCCAAAAAAGAAGATCCGTCGTCGCCATTTAAAATCAAATATAATAGGTGCAGGCATAAAATACTGAGGTTAGGTGCGGATCTGTTTTTAGCAAGTTAAACAAAGACGTCACGAGTCGTCGAGGTATAGGTGAAGTCTGAAAAAAGCTAGACAAGAGCGATAAATTTAATTTCAGTAGTTAGTTACTACAAGCAAAAACATGTGTTTTAGTTTAGCAACTTATAGTTTGCCTTTTCACAGCAAAATTTAACAGATGATATACGATTTTTTGTCGAAGAAACTTCCATAGGCTGTGGAATTTGGCAGTACACTGCTACTGGATTACTGCTATATCGGGTTTCCTTGCCGCTGGTATTTTGGTGTTTCGTCAAACTAATTGCTTGTTTAGAAGACTGTCTGAAACTAGTTTTCTGTTAGAACTGTCAAGTTTTAGATAGTAATCGGAAACTAGTTTGAACTGACCAAAACTAAGTTTAGGCAGCGCTGTGACGATGCAGAAGCAGGGTACCCTCACGAAAAATTAAAAATTTCGATTATAAGTTGGCCCAAGGGGAGCGAGTGTTTAATAAACGGGTGATTAAAGAAGTTTTTCAACGTGTTGGCACACTATACTTTTTCTACGACCGCCGCTTTTGGGTATATCGTTCAAAACAGCACGAATAAATTCAGTCAGTGACCTGTGACGTCACGTGACTGACTAACGTCGAAATACCGTGGCTAAAAACAACCGAAAACATGCTTCGGGTGAAACCGCGAAATAAAATATCTTGTTCGCGCAATTGAACTCGAGAAAACAATCTAACCAGACCCATTAGGGGAAACAATTAACGCAAGACCATTAATTACAGGAATTTCTCATGTAAATTATAAGTGACACGTGAATTCTAGGCATTGTGCGAATGGATTGTGCTGCGAGCGTACGGAGGTTTAAGGTGTCGCAAAGGAATCCGAGGGTTAGTACATTGCTCAAAATGGTGGCGGAGTCGGTGGTTATGCGGTTACCTAACTGCCTGACCCTCGAAAATTAAGAAAACCTAACACAAAGCCTTAGACCATTTGACGTTTACTAACACGCAAAATTATCCATTAATTAGCATAAATCGTATTTTAATATTAAACCATAAATCATACTAAATATTTATTTTTTTAAACTGTCAATTTTACCCTTTTTGTACGACATGTGGAATAAATAAAATATTTCCATTTTATATAACACATACCAAAATGATTCGGTGATTTTTGAATATAGCAATGTTTTAACGTTTTATATTATATCAATGTAGCAAATACAAAAAGATAGGTAAAGAACACATCAATAAACATACCATCATTTCCCAAATTTTGAAGAAAACAGTCCAAGTGGCAATCTAAATAGCGTATTAAATTTTTCAAGAAGCTTCCACAGGCTACTGTTATACTATTTACAAAAAATCATCCTGGTGGCTTCTTGAGAGCTTAACTGGAACTCTTCAGCTAAGCTTTAAGTTAGTAAAGATTTTTTTTCCAATGACCATGTTTTCTATATCCTACTCCAGTGGCTTGTTTTGTCTCTGCTGGCCTAGAGATATAAGACACAAAGATATATTGTGGGGTTACTTTGTTCTTCAGGGATAAACTATTTTTATTCCACAAAAACGAACCATTTATTTCCTATAAGTCTAGGCTATGGCGTTAAATATTTATTTCATTTTGGTTGAAGTGCTATACGAAAATTGAAAACTGATCCTATGGAACGTATCTCCTCAAAATTATTTTTGCTAGTCCCGTCTGTAAAATACCTAATTACTCACCGATCTAGCGTACGGGAACCGTCACTTTACCACGTCAGTTTCGTTTCCCATGAATCCGAGCCACTTCGGACATTTCCGGGATTTTACCGCACGGATTTGGGAGCAATCGGATGTTTTCGGAGATGCTTCCCACGCTTTGAATTTTGACGTTTGTCACTTCTGACGGTCATGTCAGTGAATGTATTCGTGTTTTGCGAAATTTACCCAAAAACTAACGGTCGTAGGAAATGTATAGTATGCAACACGTTCGGTAAACTTTTTAACTCACTCGTTTATTAAAAACTCGCTCCGATGCGCTCCGCTCGTGTCAAACAAACTCGTGAGTCAAATGTCGTTTACCCCACTTGTTGCATAATATACTATTATGTTGGATTCTCCGCCTAGATAATTCATAAAATCATATTTGTTTGAAATTTTCTGTTGGGATCAAAAGTTTTAGATTCAATTGAAAACACAATTTCTCATTCACAATATCAAATAGACTAATTTATCGATATACTACAAGTTAATATTTTCTTAATTCGTAAATTTAAATCATTTTTAATATAGAACATAATTATTTGTATCTAAATCTTGGAGAGCGAATTAATTAAAGTGGAGATAAATTTCGTTATATTATAAAAACAAAGATATACTCAACGAAACAAATTTTTATAGGAAAATACCCTATTCTTAGCAACCAGCAACCAATACTCTAGCAGACCAATTGGCCTTAGGTTAATTTCGCAAAAAGCGTTTACGTCTTTCAAACTTGACTGAACTTATTATTATGTAGGTATTCGGAAAAGCTTTTTGGAATATTTTTAAAAAATATACAAACATTTTAATTTTATCGGTAAGTATATATCTATAGTAGACAGTAAACCGTTTTTTTATGATTTAAAACACGTAAGTACAATACAGTACAATAGCTCATAAATTACTTACTACCTACCAGAACAAATTCAATTCGACACTATTGCTATTTCTTGCAGGTATTATTGAAGCTACGAGGTAGGTTACTCAAGTTGTAGCATTTTTCTCCTGAATAAAATGATTGTATCGAAAAAACAATAATCGAGCATCACGTTTCTGATTTATTAAACTTTTTAAATGCATGATTCGTTAATGTGTAAAAATTGTAATGATAATAATGAAGTTCTTCAGATGGCGGTAACGAATCTCATATTTATGTAAACTTGAAAAGTAGGTTTTAGAATAAATAATGTCACTAATTTGTCTTATTTGGTTCTTTTGTTAAATTTCATGCCAAATTAGATAAAAGTACTTTACTTTCGGTTTTATATAAAAATTTGTAATACCCATTTATATTGAAAAAGAGGTGCGAATCGATTGGTATACAAATATACTTCGTTAATGAAGAAGTTAGCAATAGTGCCGACGTGAGTTTGCTCGCGATGTATAAAAATGCTGTCCAGGTCACTCATTTTGATTATGCCTTCAAATATAGCATGCGTATTTGAGCTTATAAAATGTATTGTTCCAACTGTGGATATCACATACAATGACTAAAATACTCATCTTTTTCCAGCTAACAAAATTGAAATTGAACATATATCGAAGCTATATGCCGATAAATATCGAAAATAATTTTTTCAATGGCTGAAAGATAAGGTATATCTGAGTAATATATAATCTTGAACTGATTATAATTTCCCTCTCCTCTAGCTGTATTTTAAAAAATATGTTTATATGCATCTTTACCTATTCAGTAGATATTTAATATTATAAAAAATGGAATGCGTCTGGTAGCTTACTAATATTTCAAGTACCTGCGTTTTTTAGTTTACCATTGACGTTGATAATATTTTGCAGTAATAACGATTATTAACAAATTTCATTTGTTTTGTTAAGAAATGTGAGAGACAAAGCTCTAAAAATTAAAGGCAAAAATAAAAAGTTAAGTGTTTAACCAAATTTTTATCATGAAAAATAATAAAAATACAGCATCTCCAGCACGCAGGTTGTGGTAAAATAAGAGTAGTTTGCAGATTAGCTTTCAGACATTATTAATGATTTCAGAATGAAGCAACGCGTACTAGTGATATGATGATCGTTTTGGAGGATACCGGCAAGTTAACCGATTTTGAAAATCACTATGTAACAAAGGTACGCTAT